ACTAGACCAGGTTGCCCAAGGCCACGTCCAGCCTGGCCTTGAACACCTCCAGGGATGGGGGTGCAAAAACCTCTCTGGGCAACCTGTGCCAGTGCCTCACCACCCTCACAGGGAAAAACTTCTTCCTCATGTTTAATCTAAACCTGACCTCTTCCAGTTTATAGCCATTCCCCCTCGTCCTGTCACTCCATGCCCCAGTAAAAAGTCCCTCCCCAGCTCTCCTGGAGCCCCTTTAGGCACTGGAAGGCCACAATAAGATCTCCCCGGAGCCTTCTCTTCTCCCGGCTGAACAGCCCCAGCTCTCAGCCTCTCCTCATAGGAGAGGTGCTCCAGCCCTCGCAGCATCCTCGTGGCTCTCCTCTGGACACGCTCCAGCAGGTCCATGTCTTTCCTATGTTGAGGACTCCAGAGCTGGATGCAGTACTCCAGGTGGGGTCTCACGAGAGTGGAGTAGAGGGGCAGAATCACCTCCCTCGACCTGCTGGCCACACTTCTTCTGATGCAGCCCAGGATACGGTTGGTTACTTTATGTTCTTTTTCTGCAGCCGAGGCCTATTCAAGTGTTAAGTCACCAGAGAATGTACCAGTATTTTGTAAAATGAAAAATTACTTACGTGAATGAACCCAGCATATTTTTTGTCTATTTCCACCAACTGCTGGTCAGCTTTGTTTCGCATAGAGGGCTCTGGATCTGTGCCCATAGCAATTAAGTATGGCACACACTTGAAAAACAAATGAAATAATTATTCAGAGTTGTTGTACCTCCTCTTTCTCACTCTTTGTTATTCTATTACACTGTTGTTCTTGTTATATTCTGACTACTGCAGAAACTAGAATAGGAATCTCTATACAACTAACTACCTGACTACTTTTTGCAAACAAATAGTACAAAATACACAAGAAGCCAGCATTACAAATGACAGAAGTTGCGTGAGGTTTCAGGTAGTATTTCCATTTCTCTCAAACTCTAAAGTCAATTTACACTACCAAAAAATGCCATTTAAAAAAAAGAAAATGCCACTTATGACTGATCATGCACAATGACTGTGGTATAACAAATAATTACAAAAATATTATGTAAGCAAAGAATAATGGAGATGATAACTGAAGTTCTGACACTGACTCTGGAATTCCATAGTGTTTGGGGACTGAGGTGGAGGCAAGCTGATGCAGTTTTTGGGATAAAGAATCAAATAGAGAAACCAGCTTGGCATACACCTGAAATTTGTAAGTATGACAGAAACATGCTCCAATGTACATTTGTAGGTGCTCTTTAGGCACTGGCTGGGCTTTTACATATTGATCCAAAGACAAGAAAATAAAGCATTTGGAATCTCACTGGCTAAACAACATAAAACTAAAGGCTGAGGGACTTGGGTCTCTTCAGTCTAGAGAAAAGAAGATTGAGGGGGGATCTTATTAATGCTTACAAATACTTAAAGGGAGGGTGCCAGGGGGATGGGAGCAGTCTTTTTTCAGTGGCGCCCAGTGATAGGACGAGGGGTAATGGGCATAAACTTGAACATAGGAAGTTCCATCTTAACATGAGAAGGAACTTCTTTACTTTGAGGGTAGTGGAGCACTGGCACAGGCTGCCCAGAGAGGTGGGGGAGTCTCCCACTCTGGAGACATTCAAAACCCGCCTGGACGCCGTCCTGTGCAACCTGTTGTAGGTGACCCTGCTCTGGCAGGGGGGTTGGACTAGATGATCTCCAGAGGTCCCTTCCAACCCTGACCATTCTGTGATTCTGTGAGATCTCAAAATAGGCTTTCTGTAAAGGCCCCTTGCTACGATAAGAAATTACTGTAACATACCTGGAAGAGAAAAACTAGAAATGTAGCAAGCGTAAAAACCTCTGAAAACCCAAATAACAAAAACCCCCATCATAAAAGCCTACCATACCTGAACAGGATGGATGAGACCCTGGTTTAACGTCAGTGCAATGACATTTAGAGCAAAGTGACGTACACTGGACTGGGTATGAAAGAAAGCCTCAAGGACCTGTTTGAGATATAGCTGCATGATGGAACTGCTCATCCCTGAGGAAATATCACCCATTTCTTTCAGGTCTTCCTGCTTCGCTACTTTTTTCCCTGTAAAAAGGACAAAAGCAATAGCACGCTCACCACAGTATAATCATTTACTTTGCCATTACTTGATGAGTACTGATCTTTACAATACATACACATTTCAGCTGTCTTAGAATGGGTTTATGATCTCATGAAACATAGAACAGTCTGATGGCAAATTCTCCTGGTTTCAGCTGGGACAGAGTTCATTTTCCTAGTAGCTGCTGTGTTTTGGATTTAGTATGAGAAGAATGTTGATAACATATAGTGTTTTAGTTGTTGCTAAGTAATGCTTATATTAAGTGAAGGACTTTTTCAGCTTCTCATAGAAGCTGAGAGGGAGCATAGACAGGACAAGCCAGCCAAAGGAATACTCCATACCATAGACATCATGCTCAGTATATAAATGGGGCTTGGCTTGGGGGCAGCAATCCACGATCGCTGCTCAGGACAGGCTGGGCAATTGATCATCGGGTGGTGAGCAATTGTATTGCATCACTCATTTTGTATATTGTTTTATTATTATTGTTATTATTATCTTCTCTTCCATTACTGTTCTATTAAACTGTCTTTATCTCAACCCACGAGGTTTCCTTTTTTTCTGATTCTCCTCTCCTATTCCACTTGGGGGGGGAGTGAACAGCTGTGTGGTCCTGGTTGCTGCTTGGGGTTAAATCACAACACAAATATATTTCAAAAAACTAGAGACATGACTTTAAAGTCTTGTTCCTCAATAAAGGTTTTAATTTTTAAAATTTCTTATTTTGTATCTGCAAATTAACCTTAGAGAAAATTTTGATTAAAAGTATTACTACCATCATTTCTGGATTGCTTTCAGGATTTATACATCTTGAAAGTAAATAATAAGTTGCACTTCTCAATATACTTATGCACATAATGCATTTTTGAAAATTATTTTAAGATACTTTGTGTACACTACTATTGATTAGATAACAGTCTTAAGTGACTCAGTTCACATATATAGTAATTGTATGCAAGAAAGTTAGGTTTTGCATGAACACAGAACACTTACAGTCTCTGTCTGCCTGCTGCATACGTGTATCCTCCTCCTGCAGGTAGGTCTGGAGGTTTTTTAACACCTGGATTTTTAAGTTTACTGAACAGTTCTTATCTGAAAGAATGCTGTTGTACAGAGTCTTCACTTCCTGTTCAAACATTAAACTTGGGTGTTGTATAAATGCAAATCCTAAGGGTGGAAGAAGAGAGGAAATATTCCACGTTATTATATAGAAATTTTATTTCTGCTTTTTAAGTCTTTCTTCAAAATAGAGGTATGAAATTTATCTCCTCGCAATAGCATAGCTTTTTCTAGTACAAACAGTATTGCTTTTTCATATGGACACCATTCTAAGCTTATAAGAAGTTCCATTAGCCATGACAGTTCTATTAGTCATGACTCTGATAGATAAAGATGGGGTGCCAACACAAGACAGTTGCACTAAGAAGAGTTATACAGGTCTGGAAGCATGTCCAGTGTACTGGTCTGCATCTCAATGACTAGGAGGTTTCGCAAGAGCAAGGGAGGAACATTGCTAAAAATTACCTGCTGTTTTTCTAATACATTTGTAGAAAAACATTCTGCTGAAATTGTGAAGAGTTATTCATATGGAGGCAGAGCAAATGTGGAAAAATTTATAAATATCATGAGTATTTAAAAAATAAAATCTTAAAAGAAAAAAACATAGTGAGCACAGTAAAATAAACTCCTCTTTGGAGTATGTAGTATAATTGCACACTCTATAGAGGTGTATATTGATGTTTATAACTTGACCACCCCTGAGAAAGTCCAACCCTTTTCTTAAGGTTAATTTTAAAAATGAAAAGCACTTGCATGCATGTGTAACAATCCATAACTTTCTTTCCTTCATTCACTTAAGAGTCTAAAAACATCAGTATTCTCCGGGAGATTCTTATTTTTCCATCCCCTGTAAGCGGGGAAGAAATCTTACTTGGCCTAAGATTTGTCATAGGAGATGAAAAAAGGCATCTGCTGTGTTCCGTTAAGGACTGACTTCACATCTCGGGGCTGCCCTCACACCACTTTTCTTAGAATCATAGAATACTTTGGGTTGGAAGGGTCCTTTAAAGGTCATCTAGTCCAACCCCCCTGCAATGAGCAGGGACATCTTCAACTAGATCAGGTTGCTCAAAGCACCGTCCAACCTGACCTTGAATGTTTCCAGGGATGGGGCATCTACCACCTCTCTGGGCAACCTGTTCCAGTGTCTCACCACCCTCACTGTAAAAAAAATTCTTCCTTATAACTCATCTAAATCTACCCTCTTTTATCTTAAAACCATTACCCCTTGTCCTATCGCAATAGGCCCTGCTAAAAAGTCTGTCCTCATCTTTCTTATAAGCCCCCTTTAAGTACTGAAAGGTCACAATAAGGTCTCCCTGGAGCTGCCTTTTCTCCAGGCTGAATAACCCCAACTCTCAGCCTGTCTTCATAGGAGAGGTGCTCCAGCCCTCTGATCATCTTCTTGGCCCTCCTCTGGACTCATTTCAACGGGTCCATGTCTTTCTTGTGCTAAGGACTCCAGAGCTGGATGCAGGACTCCAGGTGGGGTCTCACCAGAGCGGAGTAGAAGGGCAGAATTATCTCCCTTGACCTGCTGGCCACACTTCTGATGCAGCCCAGGATACGGTTGGCCTTCTGGGCTGCAAGTGCACATTGCTGGTTCATGTCTAGCTTTTCATCCACCAGTACCCCCAAGTCCTTCTTGGCAGGACTACTCTCAATCCCTTCATCCCCCAGCCTGTATTGATACTGGGGGTTGCCCCGACCCAGGTGCAGGACCCTACACTTGGCCTTGTTGAACCTCATAAGGTTCACGCGGGCCCACTTCTCGAGCTTGTCCACGTCCCTCTGGATGGCATCCCGTCCCTTTAGGAATGTCAACCGCACCACTCAGCTTGGTGTCATCTGCAAACTTTCTGAGAGCGCACTCAATCCCACTGTCTATATCATTGATTAAGATACTGAACAGTACTGGTTCCAGTACAGAGCCCTGAGGGACACCACTTGTCACCGATCTCCATCTGGACATTGAGCTGTTGACCACTACCCTCTGGATGCAACCATCTTCATACCTTTGTTTTCACTCTGTTAAGAACTTGGCTGAGTAAGACATTACCTGTTAGATACTTACATGTTTAGCTAAATTTACTAACAAAATTTTGTATCCTCAATCTGCCTTGCAAGTACGCATGTGGAAAAGAAGCATAACCATAACCATTAAGCTTATGGTTAAGCTTAATCCCTCAACAGCAGTGACACATCCCAAAGCAAAGACTAAATCTGTTGAGTGTCCTTACTGAAAGGACACAATAATTACCAATAGGAAAGCACACACTCTTCACCTTATGCCTTCACTGTATACAAATATTGAATTAGCTTGCTAGTCATTTTCACCTTATTGCTGCACACAAATGTTGAATGGATTTGACAACTTGGCTCCATTACCAGTCTGTAAGGTAGAACTTTGCACTGCCTACCACGTAGAATCATAGAATTGTCTAGGTTGGAAGAGACCCTTGGGATCATCAAGTCCAACCATCTACCCTACTCTACAAAGTTCTCCCCTACACCATATCCTCCAACACCGCATCTAAATGGCTCTTAAACACATCCAGGAATGGTGACTCAACCACCTCCCTGGGCAGCCTATTCCAATGCCTGACCACTCTTTCTGTGAAAAATTCTTTCCTAATGTTCAGTCTAAATCTACCCTGTTGGAGCTTGAAGCCGTTCCCTCTTGTTCTGTCATTAATTACCTGTGAGAAGAGACCAGCACCAACCTCTCTACAGTGTCCTTTCAAATAGTTGTAGAG